TCCTTTCTGTACTGGGGGGCCCAAAACTGGACACAATACTCCAGATGTGGCCTCACCAGTGCCAAATAGAGGGGAATAATCACTTCCCTCGATCTGCTGGCAATGCTCCTACTAATGCAGCCCAATATGCCATTAGCCTTCTTGGCAACAAGGGCACATTGTTGACTCATATCCAGCTTCTTGTCCACTGTCACCCCTGGGTCCTTTTCTGCAGAACTGCCACTTAGCCAGTCAGTCCCCAGCCTGTAGCAGTGCATGGGATTCCTCCGTTCTAAGTGCAGGACTCTGCACTTGTCCTTGTTGAACCCCATCAGATTTCTTTTAGCCCAATCCTCCAATTTGTCTAGGTCACTCTGGACCCTATCCCTACCCTCCAGTGTATCTACCCCTCCCCTCAGCTTAGTGTCACCCACAAACTTGCTAGGGATGCAATCCATCCCATCATCCAGATCATTAATGAAGATGGTTGAACAAAACCAGCCCCAGGACCAACCCCTGAGGCACTCCACTTGATACCAGCTGCCAACTAGACATAGAGCTGTTGATCACTACCCATTGAGCCCGATGATCTAGACAGCTTTCTATCCATGTTATAGTCCATTCATCCAATCTATACTTTTTTAACTTGCTGGCAAGAATACTGTGGGAAACCATATCAAAAGCTTTGCTAAAGTCAAGGTATATCATGTCCACTGCTTTTCCCATATCCACAGAGCCAGTTATCTCATCATAGAAGGCAATCAGGTTGGTCAGGCATGACTGGCTTTTGGTGAATCCATGTTGACTGTTCCTGATCACCTTATTCTCCTCCAAGTGCTTCAAAATGGATTCCTTGAGGATCTGCTCCATGATTTTTCCATGGACTGAAGTGAGGCTGATTGGTCTGTAGTTCCCCCCGATTCTCCTTCTTCTCTTTTTTAAAGGAGGGCACTAGTTGAAATTAGTATATTCCACACAATTTGAGGAAGTGGCCAAAGTAAGCAATTGGACTAGCAGAGATTTATAGCAATGCAGGAAAAAGTGCCTCATCCTTGTGTTTGAAAGTAGATGTATTAATCTGAGTCTAGCAGTAAGACAGATACGTTCTGACACATGCTATTACATCAGCTAATAGCCAATTAGTTTGCTTGCTTTTTCCAGTAGATTTGTGAAGGAAAAATAAATTTTTTCAAGATGTGACTTCAGGTTCTCATTTGTTATCATGCTACAGAAGTACTGGAATATTTATAAGACTCAACAGTGGCCCCTCACCCACACTACAGAGTGAAAATTCATTGAGCAAAAACATTGAGTCTCTAGATGAGGTCAAAATCTTTAAGGGGGTCTTTATTATTATTATTACACTGTTGAAGCTCAAAACGTAATTGTAACCACATCCTATCCATTGATTAACAACCAAGGCTGTTTTTATTTATAGCAATTTTTTAATACTCGTAAAAATGTGCTACATTTACAGTTCTGCAAACTGGTGTTTTGTACATACACAAAACAGATGTAAGGAGCATAGACAGAGGCCACACTAGCCCAATGATACACTTTCCATACTTCCATGGAAGAACCATGGCAAAGACTGAATTTATTGATTCTCCCATTGACTTAATTACTCCAGGCCCCATGAACAGCGGTAGCTATGTCGGCAGGAGAAGCTATCCCACCGACATGGCACTGTCAACACTGGCACTTAGGTTGGTGTAACTTTTGTTGCTTGGGGGGTGGCTTATTCACATCCCTGAGCGACATTACTTATATCAATGTATGCTGTAGTGTATACATAGTCTAAAATAGGTACAGCACCTCACAGATGTAACTCTCAATGACTAGAGTTTGCCAAATAACTATTGATATTGTAGGCTGTTGCACATTAGTTTGTATTGCTTTCCCTATAATCCAATGGCATGGGCTACAAAATGGTCTTTAGCTACCTTAATCAAGGATGTTTTGTTGGAAGATTTCACTGAAAACTGAATTCCGCTGCTACTTTCTCTCTTGGATAACTAGCAAAATTTTCTCGAAACTGAAGAGGGTAGGTCAGCCTCAACAAAGAAGGGATTTCAAATTAAATGGCAGACTGAGACCCAATGACTTCAGGCAAAATATATAACACTCAAAGAACCTGAATATTCAAGAAAGGCAAATAACATGCATCGGATTGGACACTGAATTCTGCACCAATTACACCATACATTGCTATTTGGTATGGCAAATCTCTATGGGCAGTTTCCATGTAAATGCAGCTGCAAAATACAATCAACCATTTTCAAACCCATACCTATGCCTTTTCAAGTTTCTGCTTATACATTTTTGTCCACCATGTCTTATTCTGGCTGTTAAATACAGGCTGGGCTTCCTTGCAGTCTCTGGACACAAGACCAAAAACAACAACAGAGTAATATGGTTCAAAATAGCTTTCCAAAGAAGAAACCCAATATATCTATATGCAAAGGTGATAACAGTTTGATTCCAACTCTATCAGCAGTGCTAACCTTTTAATTTGTTTTACCAAATCTTTTTAAACCTTAAACCTTTCCTTTATAATAGTTTTGCTGGAGAACTAAGTGGATGGAACATTTGCTATTCTATCTATCTGACGGTTTCATGCTGCTGTCCATCACCATAGTAACTGAGCACGTTCCATGTAACATCAGTAACGAAGGAAGTCCCTAGTGAACTTCGTGGAGCATCTGGCACTCTTCCCCTTTCTAAGTTTTTGCTTGAGGTAGGGCTTTTGTTTTGTTAGATTTTATTAATTCTCCTCCTCATTTTTGTGGGGGATGTGAGGGATCTACTGTGTGAGCATCATTTTGATGGTTTAAAGGCTTTTTTGAAGAGGAAGGTTACACAGTGTTTCTTAAAGATGGTCAGACTCTGGATTTGCCTGATCTCTGGAAATTTGTTGCATAGCTGGAGCCCCTGGAAAAGCTTTGCCCTATACTCTAAAATCCTTCATGCTGAGCTGTGCCACCTGCATTGTGCCAGAGGAGCACAGCAGCTGCAATGGTTGACAGATCAAAATTCTGTCTCTGATGTAACTGGGGCTTAATCGATTCATTAATTGCTTTGAAAATTAGGACCAAGGCTTTAAACATGCACAGGAAGCTGACTGAGAGCCAGTGCACAGATCTGAGCATAAGCCTGAGGTGCTCACAGCGGCCTAAGTCATGGAGAAAGCAGGCAGTCACATTCTGTATCAGATGGACTCTGTTTGCACCATCTTCACATTCAGCTTCGGATACAGTGAATTACAGTAATCCAGCCTGGAAGTAACAAATATATAGCCAGGTCCTCATCTGGGAAGAAGGGGCTAAATTTCATAGCAAGCTGGAGGTGACAGAAGGCATTTTTAGAAACTGATACTACCTGGTCATCCATGATTAGTGCATCAAGGGAAAAAGGATCTGTAAAAGTTTCACACTACTTTGATGAATGGAGGCTGTGCACCTTTTATGAAAGGTGGAGACAACATCTCAGCTAATTCTTCATAGCATTTCCCCCTTTCATCCAGCACCACTTCTGTTTTGCCTGGGTTCAGTTTGAGCCAGCTGCTCTTCATCCAACAGCTGATTTTCTTGTAGGCAGTCCGACATCTTACAAGCACTGGTGGTTGTGTCAGTTAAATATGAAATATATAGTTGAACACCATTGTGAGCTGAGTCCATGGCATCTCACCCAGTCATCCCACATAGATATTGAATATGTCGTTTCTCTCATTTTCTTAATTTGTCTGCGTAAAACAAACTGGTTTTACGAAAAGTTGATATTTTGACATTGAAGGACCATCTGCTTCAGTGAACATCCATCTGTATTTACTTCATGTGTGCAAGACATTTTGTTTGGTTTACTGGTTTTAATGGTTGCTTTAGTGAAATTTTATTTGCATACCAATTTCTTTTCTTTATTAGGCAGAATGCTCTGGAGCTATGGCTCCCAGAACTGGGCAGAGAATGGTAATTCCCTGTTGTGGAGAACTTTGAAATTTTTGGTTTTCATTCCTAATCAGAATGAAATTAAATTTATAAATTCTCTGTGAAACTGAATTACTGTTCTCCATCCAGTTCTAGCAGCAACCACCACTTGGGAGAGGCTAAAGCTTTTTTTCTCCTGTGGTCCATATTTTGTGGGCTTTTTGTTGGCTTTTGTTAAGATTCATAGGTTGTTCATAAATTTTGGGTAGAGATGAAGCTTGCCATCCTGAAATTGTTCAACTTTTAGAGACTTTTTAAATAGATCATTTAGATTTCCAGCCCAGAACAGTTTAAAAATAGAAATGCTTTGTGTAAGAGAACCACCAAGGTCCTGAAAAGTAAAGGTCTTGCTTAATGACCCATCAGACCTAGAACTCTTCCCCTGAACCCCTGCTTTCCACTAGTGCTCTGTGTGATCAGCAGCTGGCGTTGAGCAGTCTAGGTCAGGATACTTGCTGGATTCCTACTTTCTCTCCCCCACACACACACTAGGTAGACTTATTGTAGGAAGATTTTTTTGGAACACATATTAACAGTTCTGACAAACTAATTTTGTAAACAGGCTCAAACTGTATTATTTGATATATTTCTCTTTATACATACATTGCATAGTGTCAAGTAGCAAGTGCAGCAACTAACTATTTTCATGCACTGACCTCCTTTAGAGTACTTTTTTTTTTTTTTTTTAAACACGGTCAACTATCAGTGGAGTTACACTAACAGCAATGTAGCATTGGGAGAAATTTAAGAAAATGCCTAATATAGAGCCCAACCTTATTTAGGTGTGTAAAAATGGATTTTGATACCTGACTTTGGGCATTCAAGCTTGACCTTAATTGTTTCAGTTTCCTTGCTGTAAATGAGAATCTCTCCTAAATCAGAGAATTTCACTTAATGTTTCTGAAGTGCTCTGGAATCCTTAGATGATTATAGAAGTGAAAAGTATTATTAATGCACTAAAATATATTTTTATTCATTATTTCACAGTTATCCACATATATCACAGTTCTCTTGACTAAGAAACAAAATTCATCCAACCCATCTTCACTTTCAGTTTATTAAAATTATCTTTACCAGTAACATTGTATTTACAGACTCATGGAGTAGTAAAAGCACCATTATGAAATTCCAAAGATTTTTTTTAAATCTAAAAATCATATCAGGACTTGAAGTCACACACACTCATTTATACATGTGTCCATTACTACAACTAAGGAAGTTCTTTGTAGCCATCTTTAACATTTCTATTAGTTTTAACTGAAATGGTGTTATGAAATAAACAGCTTTAGGTAAATTAATTTTGTTACATATGCTGTTGTTTGTGAACTATTTTACAAATATATTATTCCAAGGAGGTATTTGTGGGAGGGGGAAAGATGGTATTGTAATCGGTTGTCTACAGTTCATCCCCAAACCCCAACACTGGCACTGATTCTTTAGAAACCCTTAGTTTATGGGATTCAACATCCAGAAAGCTCTTATGAATTTTGCCATTTTTCAAGGAATACAGACTGGACTGAGGAAAGCCAAACAACTGGACTTTATTTTATTTTTGGTTTCTTTCTGGCTTGAAATTGTTCTGTTTTATTTTTGACAGATTTTATTAGCATTGATAAAGCAGGATCTACAGCTTTCTTAGTGATGTTTCCCTTCTTTCCAATCTCATTCTCCTGTATCTCCTTTGCAAGATTCTGCTGCTTTTGTTCTCTTCGGCGAGCTTTCTCCTCCAAAATTTTTTCCACTGCTTTTGTCCTTTTGAAGTTTGAATCAGAAGGATCCAAATTAAACAAGTGGGAAGTATACAGTGCTTGAAACCTTGTATCAGCAACATTCACCTGAAGATAGAAAAGAGAACCTATATCAGAGAAACAGGACAAAATGTAACATACCAGAAAATATGGTAATCATATTTAAATGGGAGAGCGTGTACAAGATAGGGGTAACACTAATTGCCTAAGTCAGATCTTACTTAACTGGAACCTAAATTTTAATATTTAAATTTCAAACAGTAGTTCTCAGAATTTGGTCAGGCTGGTTAAATTAAACTATGCATTCATGGAGGGTGAATTTCACCTACGTGTGGGGGACGTTTCTGTCCTTTGCATTGTGTGCAAGGTGGTATGGGAGAGTCAACAACATACAGGAGACACTCCTGTGCAAAACCTGTACATCACAAAAGGTGGGCCACTGAAGACATTCCTTGTGGGTTAAGAATAAGCAAGCATGGAAAGAGTCAGTGGAGACGGGCAATAATCAATATTCCAGCCAACAGATTGCATGTGGTCTTGAAGAGTGAATTCTGTCTCCTTAAATCCCTATACATAGTCTGGTTTTGCTCCCTCTGTTAGGGAAACATTGCTTGTAATCTAAGCCATGTAAAGTGCACCCAGGTCCTAAAGGGTTATGCACACGAACATGTCGGTAACAAAAATTCAAAAGCAACATGGACTGATCAAAGTTGTATCCTTGTTTGATCCCAGCATTAGTAATGATAGCCTTTTCCTGTGTAGGAGTACTATAAAGAGGTTTATATTCAACTGCACTGTTAAAATGTTGTCAAACCATATTACTGAGGTATAATTCTTACATCAGAATTCCAATCCACTCCTCTTGAAAAAGTAAAGATACTACTAAATTCTATTACATTTCAATACTTGGAATCTGTATTAGTATTACCTGAAAGTCATCTTCTAACAACTCCTCCTTTTTCATTAGTTGTTTCTTTTTCTTCTTGCTCAGGTTCTGTTGTTCTACAATCTTCTCATAGTTAAAATGTTTTCTGTCATCCTCCTCATCGTCCATCATAAGCAGTGCCATTTCAGCCTGTTACAATAAAAAGAGCTCATTTATATAACATCTCTTTGGGACGTATGGAATACACATGTTCCTTCTGAAACATGAGCACTCATGATTTCCAGGCTCCAGGGGAACAGTTGTAATTTGTAAACAGATTGCAAGCGATTATAAAACATAGTAATGTTTATTATTAATTAAATATGTCTTCTAAAACTTTTGGAGAACTGATGAGGAGGAAAACTACAGTACTATTCAATGAGTTTTATACTCAGTAGTACAGCACAGCAGGTAAAGATTTTATCTCATTTCCACAAGGCTGTTATATCTATATTCAGTTTAGCCTCTTTGTAGGATTGTGACATGGGCTACATTCCACAACCATCTGTGCTTACCTTAAAGCATTGTATTTGTTTTTAAATTCTCATATAGCTGATTTTTATTTTTAAACAAAGAACAACCCAGAAAGGTTGCTCTCTAATTAAATATAATCATTGTCACTCATTTTCATCTTCACAGTGATCATATGGTTAAACGTTCCACTTACAAGAGTTCAGAGACTTATGTGATCTATGTATAACATAGAAATGAAAAAAGTGTCAAGGTAATTCTTATCTTATAAAAGATAGTTTTTATTTGTGAAAAACCAAATGTTTAAATAAAAAGAAGAAATTAAGTTTGGGGCACACACTAACAAAAGCAAAGAAATTATGTGATTAAAGTGGATACTTTAAACTCCATTCACACTAATGAGAAATGAGAACCCCAAGCCAGGGCATGAATTCAGGACACTGCTAAATAACTTTGAATAGTCTAACTTTGCTATTTCTGCAAATGGGAAACAACTATTTAAGCATAATATTAGTTAAAAAAAATAAAATTAACTTTTGCTGAAGTGGAATAACTAAGCCTTTAGGGATCGAAAAATGTCTCACTGATAATTTCCTTTCCGCTAGCAGTCTCTCTCTCAGTTCTTGACATCTGGGTCAGGATGGATAAAAAAACAAATCAATGATTTATTTATTTTTGGGAGGAAAATGGTAAAAAAAATGTTTACGGAAAAAAAACAGTAAAAAAAATCAGTTTTTTATTTAAATCAGATTTTTAAATTTGTTAGTTACATTATAAGTTTTCCTCATAAAAATAAACCTGTTTAAAATGAAATCTGAATTTAATACAAAGTATGTTAAGGCCTAAGCTTATTACAATCTCTTAAAACATTTAAATAAATAAATATGCTGAAACCATGAGCCACTATCAAAAACTTTAGTTAAAGGCTGGGGTTTTTTTTAATATATGAAGAAAGAAACAAGGGGGAAACATCTAGCTTTGAAGTAACGCTTTATAATTATGGATCAACAGGTCTTGTACTGTGTTAAGGCCATGATCCCCTGGGAAATCCAGGGGCTTGTGCTACGGAGTGCAAGAAACTGGCAAAGTCATCATAGGCATTGGGACCCACCCGATTCCATGAGACACCATCATGTATCTTATTAGGATTATCCACTGAGCCCACTTGGGCATACTCCTATTGTATAGTGGTTCCGTTTTCAAATTATGAAACAGAAACATGCTGACTGGCATTAATTATATTCCTATCAACAGAGTAGTCCTACTGAATTCACTGGTACTATTCACATACGATTAACTCCACAAGTATTTAAAGAACTGGGACCTATGTCTGTAATCTTTAATACTTTAACACAAAAATTACCTTGTGCTTTTCTTCTTCTTTTTCTGGGGTACTTTCTTCTGTCTTGAATTTCTTTGATATTTTCTTTAAACCTGATCACACAACAAATACATGAGTTAATTCATAAGTATACATGAGACTAATTCCTATAGGTACAGTATCTGAAAGTGTGTCTCAGTCAGCTGAAATTGATATTTCAATTTGAGGTAATAAAAGAAAAAGTTTGAAAAAAGAAATCAGGTATGGTTAAGACCTAGCAAGGATTTTTACAGGAACAATATCCACTCAGTCTACTGAGTGGGTATCAGCACTCAAACTGGCAGAAGTGATGGTAGGCAAAGAAAAAAAAAAAAAAAAGAGGGGTATGGTACAATTTTTTCTTCCTTCTTGCAAAGAGCAGTTGTGAGAACCACTAGTGGGGCACATCCAGTTACACAAAGCCACTCACTGTTCAAATGTACACGCATTATAAATCCAAAGAGAAATGAGTTTATGCTGCTACACAAGTAACTGAATTCACGTGCCTTCTCTAAAATGTTCATTCCTTCCACTTAACTTCCAGTATGGAAAGGAACAATGTAACAGAAATAGCTTAAGAAAAGAAAAATAGTTTAAACTTATATTTTCCTAATCTGTCCATTGACAGTATTGGCAGCTGAACCAGAGTACAGCCTTGTAGAAGTCAAGATAAAGGCTATGTGGAAAAAAAAAAAACCAACAACAACCAAGAAGATCAAAATTATTCCCCAAATTTATAGAGAAGCAGTAAAAGTTATGCATGAAAGAAAGATTATCGCAGAACAAAAGGGGACCAAAATATTGTTGGACTGATTTAAGCTCATCTTAAATGATGAGACTCCGATGAAGTTTTCTTTACTCACTAAGGAGGTCCTGTGCATACACTGATCCTTGTACTAATAAAGAATATTAACAGAAGGAAACAGAAGCCCACAATAACCAATTATTAAGGAGAATCCTATTTACAAATACTATGCAATCAAATTTATCTCTCAAGAAAGATTCAAGACTTACAGTGTTATGAGGTAGAAGGGAAGATGGAAAGCTGCCTGGACTAAATCATGCTCTCTGACCTTTAATGAACCCATTTCCAGTAATACATTACAGTCCTTTGGGGGTATTCTTAAGGAACATATTTGGATCCATTCTGTTTCCAGAAAAGAGACTAGAAATATTTACAAGACAAAACAAAGTCTAGTTAAAGTTAATTTGCTAATTATGCTACGCAACAGGACACAACATCTCTCGAAGAGCCCCTGAAATATTTTAAGTAATTTCCTTCTTAAAAAAAAATTCACTCAACTGATTCCAAATAGCTTGCAAAGCTTGGGTGGGTTTCTCAGAAAGTTTTTTGGGGAAAAAAACAAAACAAAAGAAATACCACCACAAAATCCTGGCTGCCAGTAAGAAGAACAAAGATGTACAACATCAGTTGCTCATCAAGTCCTAAACTACTGATTCAGCATCTCCAGGGAACCATTCAGGGCAGAGGAAGTTCAAGCCCAGCAGAGGGCTCCTATTCTGTAGGTGTTTGTTCTACCTTCTCCACATATTATTCAATTCTATGTTATACAGATAGAATTGAACAAGTTTGAAACCTTCCCCAAACTGGCTACATCAGGGATGCAAGAACAAGCAGACCTGGCGAGACTGGGAAGAGATAGGTACAGGGAGGCTGAGAAAAAACAAACAATCATAGGTAGGGCCCTACTAAATTCACAGCCATGCAAAACAAGTCATGGACCATGAAATCTGGTGTTAGGTGTGCTTTACCCTATACTATACAGATTTCATGGAGGAGACCAGTGTTTCTCAAATTGGGGGTCCTGACCCAAAAGGGAGTTGTGTGTGTGTGGGGGGGGGGGCGTGCGTGCGAACAACCCTTACTTCTGTGCTGCTGCCTTCAGAGCTGAGCAGCTGGAGAGCAGCGGCTGCTGGTTGGGCACTCGGCTCTGAAGGCAGCGCCCCACCAGCAGCAGCGCAGAAGTAAAGGTGGCAATACCATACCACACCACCCTTACTTCTGCCCTGCTGCCTTCAGACCTGGGTGGCCAGAGAGTGATGTCCGCTGACTGAGGGCTCAGCTCTACAGGCAGCAGCGCAGAAGTAAGGGTGGCAACACCCTACCAGGCCATCCTTACCTCTGCGCTGCTGCTGGAGGTGACACTGCCTTCAGAGCTGGGCTCCCGGCCACCCCCGCTGCTCTCCAGCTGGCCAGCTCTGAAAGCAGCACCAGCGCAGCTGTGCAGAAGTATGGGTAGCAGTACCGCAAACATCCTCCCCCCTCCCCCATTCCAACTCCTTTTTGGGTCAGGAACCCTACAATTACAACACTGTGAAATTTCAGATTTAAATAGCTGAAATCATTAAATTTATGATTTTTAAAACCCTAGGACCATGAAATTGACCAAAATGGATCGTGAATTTGATAGGGCCCCTAAACATCGGAGGTGCCAGGAGGGAACACCTCTCAGAAGCAAAGCAGATCCATATTATTATTGTTATTTATGTCTATTACTATAGCACCTAAATGCCCTAGAGATCCAGGATTGTGCTAGGTGCCGTACAAGCACGGGTTCACTGATGTGGGGAGCTCCAAATTCTTACCAACATCTCCGGGTACATGAGGCTTAGCTTGCTCACACTCAACTTCTAATATGGTGTATGGAGAAGGAATAAGGAAAGTAAGTGCAGAACTAATTGCCTCCCTATGGAAGACTGATCCTAATTAGGACTGTGTATCACCTCCCCTCCCAGCCCCCACCTCGCAACTATAGGTTGTGCAGCCTGTCAGAACCAGCCTTGGTCTTGTAGCTTCATGAAATTAAGACTATTTGGTTCCAAAATTGTCAGACCTTTTCTCTTTGCTGTTGACAATAAAATCATCACCACATGTAGCCTTTAAATCAGGACTGCTTTCCTAAAAAATGTGGTTTTGTTCAGCTACAAGTTATTGACACAATAGTGTTCATTTACCCAGTATGGAAGACTAATTCCACCTGCAGAATAGTCAGACAAGATTAATAGATTTTAAGACCAGAAGGAACTATTATATGTTCATCTAGTCTGACTTCCTGCTTAACACTTCACAGAACCTCAACCAACAATTTCTGCACCAAGCTTATAACTTCTGTTTGAGCTATACGATCAACTTTTAGAAAGATATCCAACCATGATTTAAAGACTTCCAGTGATGGAGAGTCCACCACATCACAAGGTAAATTATTCCAATGGCTAATTAAACTCACTATTAGTAACATATGCTATACTTCTGGACTGAATTTGTCTAGCTTCAGCTTCCAACCATTGTAATCATCATTCCTTTTTCTATTATATTAAATGAGCTGTTGACTATCAAAAATATTTTTGCCACATACTTGTAGATTATGCCTCTTAATATTCTCTTGAAGTGTTGTAAAATCCAAATGCTTACTCAGATTGTTCTGAAATTTGCTGTGCTCCTTTGCCAATCCTTACAGTCCAGGGGGTTCTCAAACTGTGGGTCAGACCCCAAAGTGGGCCACAACCCCATTTTAATGGGGTTGCCAAGGCTGTCTTGGGCTTTGGCTTTAGCCCTGGGCCCCAGTAAGTCTAAGCCCCACCGCCTGGGACCAAAGCCCAAGCCCTGGGTGGTGAGACTCAGGTTACAGGCCCTCTGCCTGGGGCGGAAGCCTTTTGGCTTTGGTCTCCCCCCTTGCCAGGGGCGGTGGGGCTTGGGTGGGCTCAGGCTTCAGTCCCCCCTCCTGGGGTCATGCAATTTTTATTGTCAAAAGGGGATCACAGTGTAATGAAGTTTGAGAACCCCGTTATAACTTGTAAAACATTCCTGGAGTTTCTATTAATGGCTCCATGAAACCCTTCCAAATGTCTGCAAGTTTGAACTCCATGAAAACACAATTTTTGTTGTACACATTGTATAAAGATGTTTAAGGAGCTGCTCCTCCTATTCCCTTGACTAATTTGGTGGTCTGTAACAGATTCCCAACCAGTACCCCACGTTGGAATTTATCAGGTAGAATGCTGATCCATAACTATTCCAGGTCCTATACTTCTGAATTGTCAAGAAATCTAACGCAGACAATAGTTTCTTTGACGTAGAATGACAACCCTGTTCCTCGGCTGCCCACTCTCTTTTTCCTAAAATGGAGTAATATTAAAATCCCAGTCATGTGACTCAGCCCACCAGGTTTCAGTAATACTAATTATACCAAATTTTCTTTTCATAAATGAACATTTCTAATTCCTCCTGATTATTTCCCAGGCTTTTCTCCTCTGTCACCCAGAAAACTGGAACCCTTTCTACTGAAACAGTGGTAGTCCAACCCATATGTCCTTTTCTCCCTATAGAAGATGACCCAATATTTCACAAAACCCAAACCATCAACTTTAGACTGTATACCTAGCCAACAGTTTGCTGCTCACATTTTCTACTGGCTATCTTCTCTCAGTTGCTGGGCAAGACAGATTTTTGATCATCACCAATGCTTTCCTATCCTTCAGCTCCCTTGTAAGATCTTTGAAGTCTCAGATGATCTGCAAAGAATCTTCTGAAGCAGTACGCAGTGATGTTGTAGCCATATTGGTCCCAGGATATTAGAGAGACTAGGTGGTGAGGTAATATCTTTTACTGCTGGTGAGAGAGACAAGCTCTTGAACTTACAAAGAGCTCCTTTTCAGGTCACTGAACATTTTGGGTATGGCTGACATCCATCTTCTCATGTGCCCTGCAGAGGTCCCTGTGTTTTTCTCCAGTTTTGGAATTTCAGTCTTCCAAGAGATTCTCTGTAGCTGCTGCAGGAGAACTGGAATATGACTCGATATCTCTCCCTATGTTGAATTTCTCCTGGTTCTCTTTCCTCTGGTGGTCAAAGACCATCCCATCCTCTCTTGCTTCTCCTTCCTTGCTTGGTCACAAATTGCCAGTCCCTTTTCTCTGTTTTCCAATCTCTCCTGTTCGTTTGAAACAAAACTTATCTGATTGGACCTGCAGTGGTGATAGCGGGTTATCCAAGAACTGTCTCTCTGATACAACAGAATCAACAGACGCCCTTCAAGACCACAAACCCATGAGAAA